TAAAAAAATATTTTTTTAAAAATTTTTGAGTTTTAATGTAGATAACTTACCTTTAACTAGACTAACGAGGTATTCATCTCCAATTATGGATAAATTAGTTTAAGGACACCCTTGACAACTAAATTTTTTTTTTTTTTTTTTGAAAAAGAACTGCGTGACATTTCCGTGAATCATTTTCATGAGAATTCGGTCCAATTCAATTTTGAAACATAAGATGAACAAAAATCCCCAGCCTGGGAGTCCCATTATTTGTAGGGATCCACCTCTATGGACAAATTTTTCCCATGGGTAGAAGCAAAATCTTCAGTGAAATGTTGCAGTGAAAACTTCCCACACTATTTACCATTCCTCACCCAGCTATGGTATGGTATAAGTGTAAGAATCTGTTATTTTATAGTATGAATTGAAAAATAAAACTCTTTAGTAGAGTAAGAGAGGCCCTCCCCGTTTAAGAATCAATATTTTACAATCGAAAACAATTTAAATTGTAAAATACTTTTATGTAAGTGCAATAACTATAAATTTCCTAAAAGTTTTAATTCTTATAAAGCTTCAACCAAAAATATTTTGAGTTTGAGGATGCTAATGAATTTTAGAAGCATAGACTTAAATTAATAGAGATTAATTCCTAGTGTCAATTTGTTTTTTTATTTTATTTTTTTCCCCTGTAGAACCCTAGCCGCTTACTCCTATTTTCTCTCGTCTTCACGCAGACAGCAGCCACCGTCACACAAAAGCCGTCTTCAATTTGTCATCAATTGGTAGAATTTCAACTACTTCTCTTTTAGTTTTCTTCTTCCCGTAATTAAATCTTCAACATGGCAGCTGTCTTAATCTTTTTCTCCTCCTCCAATCCGCTTGAACTACTGCAGAAAAACTTGGTGTTTTTATTCAATTTCCATCCTCGAATTCATCCTTGGATTGCGTGTTTTGGACTATAGCAAATATTCTGGTAAGGGCCACTATATTAACCTCTCAGAAAACCTCTGGTTTGGCGCGTGATTCTCATCTACGTTGTGTTCATTTTGCTTTGCTGGTTAAAAAATGGGGTTATATGCTGTTCGAATTTTCTGTTCTAAATAATGAAGTGAGACATAATTTAGCACCACGTGTCATATGATATTGTAATTTTATAATATGATATATTTTTATATAAATAATTATTTTTATTTAATAATTTATTTATAATATTATATTTATTTACTTATTTAATATTATATTATAATCATTTATTATTACGTTATGATTGTAAACTTAAAATTATATATGGCATTGTTGAATTTAGTGGAATTAACTTATCTTGACTTTCATAACAAGCACACGTGGGGCTTATTCACAAGTATACAACTCTTGTTATACTTCAGATTTGGGACGTAACAATAAGATTATAAGTAAAGACTCTTTAACTAATAACAATATCTTGGTGTGGGTAAAGAGAACTCAATTTTTTTAAATAAAATTTTAAATTCAAATTTTATAAATAAAGAGATAGATATTAAGAGAACATTTTTTCTTATAAAATATGACTTAAATTGAATTCAAATTAATCAAAATCCAATCTAGTTTTTAGATAATAAAAAGACTCTCTAAAGCCCATTAAGCGTTTGGACCCAACAAAAACAGACCCAAATGTAAAATTGTAAATTGTTAGAAAATAAAACCCCAACTGATGGACTCCATGCTTTAAAGTTTACATAGGGGTGAGTATTGGGTATGGACACACCTATTGCTTGTAAGTAATTTATTTGTTTGGCTAAATGTTTTATCTAAATTGTAAAAAAATTGGGTAAGCAGTGGATATGAAAATAATATATTCACAAATATCAATTATAAGAGTTCAAAATTATTTAACTGACTTGTTTAATTTTTTATTTAACTGTCATATTACCTATATTTGTATAACTGAAATTTTATATATACTTATTATACTTAATATCTACATAATAATAATAATTTTTAAAGATAAAAATAATAAAATACAAAAAAAAAAATCATACACAGCTTATAAATAATAAATTATAAATCAAATACATATTAC